CTTGCAAAGAATTTTTTTTATTAAACAAACCAAAATTCAAACCTATTAAAAATAATGCGATCAATAAATAAACTCTTTAAAAGCCCAACTTATATGTATTTTATTTTAAAAACAAAACTAGTACTAGAGCTATAAATATAAGATACATAAATTTCAAAATTATAATGATATTTTTTAAAAACAAATTCTGCTTATAACATCTTAAAACACTATTTTTTTTTTGGATTGAGTAAAAAAATGGTAAAAATACATTAGGTTTCACTGTACATAAAAATAAAATATTTTAAATGGAAATAAGTGGAAAAGCAGTAAATTTCGTTTCTTTACAATATTTATTTTATCAAAGCCAACGTTTTTTTAAAAAGGGGAAAACCCAGTCTATGGGTTTAGTTGTAAGTACATTTAAAGTGATAAATTTAAATTATTTAAAAAAAAACAACCATAAATCGAATGTTTGAAAGCAAAAAAAATAATGTTTAAATAAGTATAAGATTTTAATACAAAAAGACTTTTTTAATCAACATTTTGCTTATGCCTCTATGATAATGGCTATGCAACTCTTCCTGTTATCTCCATATGAGGGTACAGCTCTAAAACTCAGTTTAATGGTTCTGAGGCCGGGTGGTAGTAAGGTTTCCCAAACTCTGTGGTAGCTCTCAGAGAGGCTGATTCCATCAACAGCTGCAAAATATCAGAGTATTAACAGTGCCATGTTGCGCATGGATGGTGTCTCTGTTAATGCTTTTGGTGTGCATTGTCAAGGCCACATAAGGAGCCCTATGTCACGGCTTAGGGTTAATTAACAGGACTGAGACAACTGCACAGCTCATTGATTAGGAGGCTGTGCTCTATATATGAATGAGTCAAGTTCTCATTAAACCCAAATCATGACCAAAGTAACCAAAAATTTAAAACCTAAAAAACCATCCCCACCACCTAAATATTTTAATATATCTTTTACAAATATTCGCGGTCTACGAAGCAACTTTCCATCAGTTGAGTCTTACCTCCTGCAAAATTCACCAGACTTGCTTGCTCTCAGTGAAACAAATTTAAGTTCTGCAATTCCTTCTTCAGATGTCAGTGTTGATGGGTACTATCTTTTGATTCGTAAAGACTCCAATAGTCACATGCTAGGTTTAGGGGTATACATACGCATTAATTCCCCTATTTGTCGTGAAATCAGGTTCGAATCCTTTGATCATTCTTTTATGTGCTTTCGCCTAGCACCTCTTCACTCTATCACCTTTCTTTTTGTTCTTTATCGTTCTCCTTCTTCCCATGATTGCACTCTTTTAGATGTTATCTCTGATCAAATTGACCATGCCCTCTCTCTTTACCCCTCTGCCAATATTGTTGTTGTTGGTGATTTTAATGCCCATCACACTGAATGGCTTGGCTCTAACACCACTGATCCTGCTGGCACTAAAGCCTTTAACTTCTGCGTTTCTCAATCTCTTTCTCAGATTCAGTTAACTTTGTGACTCGTTTTCCTGACAACCCTAATCATTTACCTTCACTCCTTGACTTATGTTTTGTCTCTGACCCTAGCTTATGTTCAGTTTCTCCCTTTTCTCCCTTAGGTGGTTCTGACCATGCAATGATCTCTACAAATCTTTCTTCTCGTACTTCTTTTTTGGGCTCACCTTATCATCGCACCACCTACTACTACCCTAAAGCTGACTGGGATTCCTTTCGTGATTTTCTTCGTGATGGTCCTTGGGCTGATGTTTTTTCTCTCTCAGCTGACAAATGTGCCTCCTACGTAACCTCCTGGATTCAGGCTGGAATGGAAGCTTTTATTCCTTCTCGTCGGTTTCAAGTCAAGCCTCATTCTACTCCATGGTTTTCTCCTTCTTGTGCGGCTGCTATATCCAATCGTAATCATTTTTTTCATCTTTTTCAAAAGAACAACTCTCTTGAGAACAAACGGCTATTTATTATTGCAAGAAATCGATGTAAAAAGGTGCTTTCTGATGCTAAACTCCATTATTCTCAGTTCACTAAATCTCGCATTTTATCGCAGAAGTTAGGCTCTAAAGACTTTTGGAAAATCTTCAACAGCATTGATAACAAGGGTAGATCTAACATTCCATCTCTCATTCATGGGATTGATCTTGTTACCTCTCCCAGGGATAAGGCAGAACTGTTTGCAAAGAACTTTTCTTCTAATTCCACTCTTGAATCTTATGGACATTCTCTTCCTTCCATTCCAGTCAAACAGGTTGACCCATTGTTAGACATTCAAATCAGTCCGGCTTCTGTTGCTAAAGTCATATCTCAATTAAACTCGTCTACAGCTTGTGGTCCAGACAACATTCCTGTCACTGTCTTGCAGAATTGTTCTCCAGAACTTTCTTCAATTCTCTCTAAACTATTTAACAAGTGTTTGACTGAGTCTTGTTTTCCTGCTTGTTGGAAAATGGCATCTGTGGTTCCAATATTCAAAAACTCTGGAGAAAATTCTGACCCCTCCAATTATCGTCCGATCAGTCTTCTTTCTGTTATTAGCAAGGTCTTTGAGTCTTTAATCAACAAGTTCCTCACATCTCATCTTGAGTCAAATAAACTGCTGTCAGACAATCAATACGGTTTTCGATCCTCTCGCTCTACGGCCGACTTGCTAACTGCTGTAACTGAAAGATTTTATCGTGCATTAGATGGAGGCGGTGAGGCTAGGGCTATTGCTCTCGACATATCTAAATCTTTCGACAAAGTTTGGCTTGCTGGTCTTCTCCATAAGCTTGCTTCATATGGTGTTTCTGGGAAAGTTTTTGAGATTATCAAATCATTTCTTTCTAACCGGTTTATTAAAGTCATCCTTGAAGGCCAACACTCTTCTTTATTTCCAGTAACTTCTGGGGTTCCCCAAGGTTCCATCCTGGGCCCCATTTTTGTTTCTTATCTACATAAACGATCTTCCTGACAACCTTTTATCTAAAGTAGCTCTTTTTGCTGATGACTCAACTTTATACTCCTGTCTTGACAAAAAGTCTTCTCTTTTCGATCGCCTAGAACAAGCAGCTGATCTTGAATCTGATCTCACTTCAGTAATAGATTGGGGTTCACAGTGGCTTGTGAATTTCAACTCTAAAAAAACCCAATTGCTTACTGCAAACAACTACCGTAATATGGTCAACATTCCTATATTAATGAATGGCAATCCTCTTACTGAGTCGTCCTCTTTACGTCTTCTTGGATTATCGCTTACTGCTGACCTTTCATGGAAACCATATATACAATCGATTGCTAAATTAGCTTCTGCTAAGGTTGCTTCTCTTTATCGAGCTCGCCATTTCCTTACTTCTGATTCCATTCTCTACCTCTACAAATCTCTTATTCGTTCCTGTATGGAATACTGTTGTCATATTTGGGCTGGTTCTTCTAACGATTCACTCTCTCTTCTTGACAAGGTCCAAAAACGCATTGTAAATGTTGTTGGACCTGGACTATCTGCTAAGCTTGAACCTCTTTCCCATCGTCGTATAGTTGCATCTCTTTCTCTTTTCTACAGATACTATCATGGTCACTGCTCAAAGGAGTTATCATCTCTAGTTCCATCAACTAAAATTCATTCTCGTTTTACTCGTCATTCAGCTAAGTCTCATTCGTTTTCTGTATCTGTCTCTGTATGCTCTAAAAACTTTTATTCATCTAGTTTTTTTCCCCGCACTTCAATTCTTTGGAACTCTCTCCCATCTTCATGTTTTCCTGACTCATACAACCTTCAACTTTTTAAGTCTTCTGTCAACCGTTTCCTTGCTCTATAACTCTGTTCTTTTTTTTTCCTAGTAACTCCCAACTTAATCGTGGTTGCTTGCAGCCTTGTTGGGAGTGAATGCAAATAAAAATAAAAAAAAAAAAACAAAAAAAAAACATTAAAACTTTAGTTTTTTTTATAACAATATTGTTCAATTTAAAGCTATTTTGTTTTAAAGCTATTTCCTTTCTAAGACTAACAATAAAAATAAATGACAATAAAAACCATTGTTTTTATTGTCATTTTGAATTTAATTACAATAAAGTAAAAGCGCAACTGATGTAATTTAACTTTTAACAATGTAAATATCTTTATTTGGTAAAGTTACATTTATTCACGTTTCGCTTTTCCGTTACGCAGCGAAATCTCGTAACAAGGCCTGATATATATAATATTTATAGATTAGTGTCTATATTTGATGTTTTGTGCAAAAATAAAGATTTTTTTTTGGTTAAAATGCTGCAGTATGTGCAACAGAGAATTGTTGAAAGACGGAATAAAAATTTAGTTGGTTTGCTAAAATATTTAAATAATCCATCAAATTATAAACATGAATCAAACATAGATTCTATATTATTGTTGCCTTCCAAATCATTCCTTCAAGCTACGGTTACAAAATTATTTTTCTAAGCTTTTTGTTGAGGATTTTGATGGTGGTGGAAATTAGGCTGAAATGAAGAATTAGAATGCAGTAATGACGGGACTGAAAGGTCGATTATGGCCAAACCAAATTTGAAGACAACATCTGAATCAACACTTCATCAAAAATTGGAAGCTGCCATTACGAACGTTAGTCAAATTGAGAGTCCAGAAGATGTGTTATTTGACATTAAAAATATTACAATAAAAATTTTTGATGCAACGAAAAAGCGTTATAAAAAAATAATATTTCTAATATTATTTTTTTTAATAAAAAATTTTTGTTTTCTAATAATATTTTTTCAATAAAAAATTTTGTTATAATATTTTTCTTATAAAAATCTTTCCTAATGATATTTTCTAATAAAAAATTTTCTAATAAAATATTTTTAATGCAAAATTTCTTAAAAATATTTTTTAATAGAAATTGCTCCTAAAAATATATATAATAAAAATCTTTTTATTGCAGTTTACATTACTTTGCTCTTTTCTGTTGTTTTAGTTATTTATTTTTTGGGAGAATAGGGTATTTTTGGGTAGTTTTGGGTAGTTTTAGGTATTGTAAATAAATTTTAATTTAAAGCACATTTTATATATTTAGTACTCAAAAGTCTTTGTGGGAAATTGCGTTAGAAGAAAAGCAAAATAACACAAAGAATATCACAAAAGGTTTTTTTTTAGTTATTAAATGGTGTTATGTTTATTTTTGTTGAAATCATGAATATAAAAATAAAATGAACTTGAAAAGTGCTAAATTTTTTGTTTATAAACATGAGAGCCAATAATTGTTATCAAGTTATAAAATTCATAACTAATGTTCATATATTTTTTACTTGTTTTTGAAATTGTTATTTATTTTGAGGTGATGTAATAAAAATGAATAATTTATATTAGATTAAATGAAGTGAATTGTATCTCCATAAAAGGTCAACAGTAAAGCATGAAATGTTTGTCAACAATAATAATTATTGTGATAATTGTCAGCAAAAAACAAAAAATTTTGGGGTTTCTTTTCCATTTCTAACCTAAATTTTAACCCAAATTAACTGGCTTCTAGTTCTTAATGATCAAACACACATTTTTATTTTTTCATTTTTTATGAGACTGAATTTAGTTGTGTCATTAAAAACTTTAGTTGTAAGATTATTAAGAAAATTAAAAATAAAGATTTGAATCAATAACAAGGATGGAACCTTGTGGTACTCTAATTGTTATTGGAAATAAAGATTTGAATCAATATCAAGGATGGAACCTTGTGGTACTCTAATTATTACTGGAGATAAAGATGAGAATCAATAACAAGGATGGAATCATGTGGCAATCTATTTGTTACTGGAGATAAAGGTGAGAATCAATCAACAGGAACAAGGATGGAACCTTGTGGTAATCTAGTTGTTACTGGAGATAAAGGAGAGTGTTATCAAGAAAACTTTAATACTATGGTTGAAAAGAAATTGTTCAATAATTTTAAAGATTTTTGCAGATCGATTTGATTTTACTTGGTTTATTTTTAGAGAATCGGGAAAATGTTTGGTAGTTTAAATTTTAATATTGTGTTGTTTAAATTTCATTGGCATTATCATTATTAATTACTTCAGTAATTACTATCATTTTATTATCCTTATTAATTACTTCAGTAATTACTATCATTTTATTAATTTAAACTTTGCTACTTTAATGTCATTTTTCTTCTGATGTCTTTTAGTTTTATGAAATTATCAATCAGTATTGTCTTGATTATTTTTTAATTTGTGCTATTTTTTTTCCAGATTTCCAGATTAATAAAACATACTTATTTTCAAGATGTCTGTCTTCTGAGTTAAGTTCATGAGTATGTAAAATCCCAGTAGTCACTCAGGGGAGATGTAACCGTTTTAAAGTTAAAGGGATTCCTAAGTGCTCCTAACATATGATCTCATATGAAAGAGCATAAAAAAAATATGTAAGTTTTTTTTCATTTTCACTAAATTGTAATAATAAATGCATGCTAACAAAAAGCAATTGCCGAAATCACTAAAAAACAACTCCATTTTGATTTTATTTTTTCACCATTGAAACTCGATTGTTAGTCGTTAAAAATCACGTTAGTACGTCACAACAACTTTAGAATATCTACTTCGATTTTCAAGTAAAAAAAAGTCGTGATTAAATAGTTAAGTTTTAATCAAGTTTTTTTTAATAAGCTATGCAAAAACAGTATAATAGCACTCGGTTGAAAGACGTCGTTAAAAAAAGTTATTAAGTAATAGGTTTAAATAGTTTAGAACTTATAAAAAAGTCTTACAGGGCTCGTATTAAGCGTATCGCGATCGCGATTGCAACACACACTTTTGTGATTAGTTTTCTCTTAAAAAAAATCTTTTCGCGACTCATTTTTTTTTTGGTTGATTAATTACTTTTTTTCTAGCTTAGCATTTTTTTTAGCAATTCTAATGTTTTTAAGTAATGTTTTTATCATAAAGAACGTCACACAAAATTTGTTATTCTGAATAGATAGATGAATAGATAGTTTGCTCTTTCGCGCGGAGATTTTCTTTCAACGTAAAACATTTTTGAATTTAAATTACTTTAAATCTCCGCGTGGAATATTTTTACAAGGTCGTTAAAGCGAAAAGTTGAAAAGTTGGTTTTTATCTTTGTTTATCAAAACTTCATGTTTAAAATAAGGCTTAAAAACGTTAGAGCAAAAAAATTACTGGCTTTTATTTGCATTTTTAAACTGTTTAAAAAAAAAAACTAATAAAAAAGAATTAGTATATAATTATTAATAAATATATTATTAGTTAATTCTTTTTTATTAGTTTTTTTTTCAAACAGTATAAAAATGCTAATAAAAACCAGCATTTTTTTTACTTTAACGCTTTTAACCCTTATTTTAAACATGAAGTATAATTCGATTTATTAAACCAAACTTTTTTGTTTTATCTTTTATTGGAAAACTTGAAATAGAAAAATTGAATAAAAACATCAACCATTTAAATGAAAAACTTAATTATATTTAAACTTTTATTAGTCCTCTATTCAAGAAACAATAAATTATAAAAAACGTGGTATCTAATTTTTTATTAAGTTTTTGACGATGTTTTTTGATTTATTGGGGATAATTTTTTAAATAAACTTTCATGTCTAAGTCAATATTCATTTGTTTTTAACTGACAAAAAAGAGTTTAAAATTTGACTTCTATTCATTTTTAGCCGTGGAATTGCCTTATAACATAAATATATAAATTAATATTATAAAAAAATTTTAATATACAAATATATTTTTACAAAATGCTACAAAACTTATTCTTGTAAGTAATTATGTGTTAGTTAAAAAAAAACGACTTTACTTTTAAATTTAATTACCAACTAATAAGTTTGCAATAATGACATTTTGTCTACTTTGTTTAATTTGACGTACTAACGTTAGTTTTTTAAGACAGTAGAGTCAATAAACTTTGGACAAGACACATTTTTTTTAATCAAAGAAAATTAAATTTGTTAGTGTGTGTTCATTATTACGTTTTAGAAAAAATAATATACATCAAACATTTTTTTTTTTTAATGCTCTTTCATATGAGATCATATCTTTATAGCACTTAGGGATCCCTTTAATACATCTTGAGCAACATTTACATTTTAAGATTGAAGAGTCATACAAGAAAACTCATGAGAAAATTAACTTTTTTGTTATATAATACTCAAAATTATTTATTGAAGCTCAGAAAGATACTCAATGAAGTTGTTAACAAGATACTCAATCAAGTACTTACAAAAGATAATCAATCAAGCACTTACAAAAAAATTATCATTCAAGTACCAACAAAAGGTAATCAATCAAGTACTTTCAAAAAATAATCAATTATGTACTTTGAAAGATAATCAATAAAGTACTTATGAAAAATAATAAATCAAGTACTTTAAAAAAAAAAACAACCAAGTACTTACAAAAGATAGTCAATAAAGTACTTATGAAAAATAATCAATTAAGTACTTATGGAAGAATATTTACAAATATATCAAGTACTTACAAAAGATAATCAATTAAGTACTTACAAAAAAATTATCATTCAAGTACCAGCAAAAGGTAATCAAACAAGTACTTTCAAAAAATAATCAATTATGTACTTTGAAAGATAATCAATAAAGTACTTATGAAAAATAATCAATTAAGTACTTATGGAAGAATATTTACAAATATATCAAGTACTTACAAAAGATAATCAATTAAGTACTTACAAAAAAATTATCATTCAAGTACCAGCAAAAGGTAATCAAACAAGTACTTTCAAAAAATAATCAATTATGTACTTTGAAAGATAATCAATAAAGTACTTATGAAAAATAATCAATTAAGTACTTATGGAAGAATATTTACAAATATATCAAGTACTTACAAAAGATAATCAATTAAGTACTTACAAAAAAATTATCATTCAAGTACCAGCAAAAGGTAATCAAACAAGTACTTTCAAAAAATAATCAATTATGTACTTTGAAAGATAATCAATTAAGTACTTATGAAAAATAATCAATTAAGTACTTATGGAAGAATATTTACAAATATAGTTGGAGTAAGAAAGAGCTGATTTTTATTGTAATATTGCCTGCAACTTATATTTTATAAACTATTAAGACCTGATCTATTGACTAGAATCTGGAGTAATTCCTTAATTTCTATTTTTTTGTTCGTTTATCTGAAAGTTGTTAAATCTAATGTTCTTGTTAAATGTGAGCATGCTGTTAAATGTTTGATCTTACCGATATAGGTATACATCTGAAGATATCTCAATCAGTAAGTTTAAGCTTTTTCAAAAAGATATTTTGGATTTTCAACTGAGTAAGATCCTGAAAATTTTGTAATGAAAATTTTAAATCTGGACATAAGAAAAATATGAAGTAGGAAATTGAAAATATTCAATATTGTCATATTAGAGTAAATTTCACCAAAATATTACATTGTTGTGTGTGGTAATAAATGCAGTTTTATTCAATCTATCACCATTCAGTTATATTCACATCTGTTGTCAGTGTTATCTCAAGATTCAAAAAAGGTGAAATACTTTATTTGCAAGGTTTACTTCAAGGTAAAGAGGTTTTTTTATATGATCTTTATAATACAGGTTTTAAAACTCTCTTCTTATTTTTTTTACATAAAACATGGCAGTCAAAAGTTTTTGCATAAAAAAATAATTTTCATTTTATTTAACAAAATATTTTTTGTCATGTTTTATAATCTTTTAAAATACATTTAAAATACTTTTCTTCAAAGTTATTAAAATGAGAATTTAAATTTTTTGAATATGAAAGTTTCAGATCACTTTTTAAATATGAGATTTTAAGAACACTTATTCATAGAATAAATTGTTATTCTGATTTTTTTTTTCTAAGAAAAAAAGTTGAGTTGTAAGTTATGAATACCTATCGCAAAAAAGCATATTAAGTTAAATTTTTTTTTTCAGAAACCCTTTATAATCATTAACTTAGTGATATGGACTTTTGGAATCGATTACAATGAGATCTTAAAGTGAATCAACCAAGTTTAAGTTATTTTCACTGAAAAATTTAAAGGGAGAAAATATTTTTTGAAAACGATAAATATTTTAACACATATATAAAAACCATATAATGATTTTTATTTACTTAATGTTTTTGGTACTACAGTATTGATTTAAATACTATGAGGA